CCTTAACACTTTGTTGGTCTTGTTAAGAAAGCATCTCGGGACATTAGAAAAGCTTCCCCACAACATCTTTCAAATCTTGTTGAACGAGGGAGGACCTGAACTTTCATCTGAAGCTTCACACCTTTTAGAGACTAAATATTCTGAAATGGTGTATATGGAATACTTGCAAAAGGAGGATCTGCAAGGGCGTGTTCAATCAAAATTTGAGTGTTCAAAAGCCGTAATTTGTTTTGATGTTTCACCACAGTTAGACTACATGGTATGCGATTGCTATGATAACACGATACAGCTGTGGTCGATCCGTACTGGCAAGCAGTTATGGAAACGAGATGTCCAGGTAAAGAAAGATTACTACTTCGAGTATGATGACGATGACTTTTTTCCTATCTACGAACCATATAAGGGAACCAAAAATCACTGCGTCAGCGACGAGTATGACGACGATGATCTGCCATGTCCTCCCAAGTCAATTTACCGCTCAGTAGTGTTTCATCCTACAGAGGACCTTGTCTTACCAGGAATCCTCAGCCATGCCTATACGTTTGACGGGGACCTAAAACCACTTTTCCTTTCTAGCAAGTGCTGTTTCTGGGTTTGTTCAATTTCTGCAGAAAAGACCAAGATGCTAACTGATTGCCCCAATGATGCTAAATCAATTATCATGTGGAGTCTGAAAGATGGCTCAGAGATGAATCGTTTTTCATGGAGTGACGATATTGTGTCATTTGCTTGGTCTCGCGCTGGAAGACTGCTAGCAATTTCTGACCTGTCTGGTTCGTTAACTTTGGTTGACGTAATGAATGATTATAGAACTCTAGCACAGACAGCTATTTCAGAAGTATGCGGAATGATAAAGTTCTCCCCTGACTGTCGTTGTCTGTATTCTTTGGTTTTCAACAGTGCTAGGTGCCATCTCTTTCTTTTAGACGTCAACATGGAAAATGACGGCGACTTTTCTTTAGATGTTTTGCCTAATGAAGTGTCTTATCACCCCTGGGAATTTGAATCGTGTAGTGAGACCGGATTTTTATTAGGAGATCCTTTTTGGTTTCCATCTGGAGGAGATACCATCTTCTCACGGGAACCTGACAGACCTGGACTTGCTTTTGTGCTCAATGAAAAATCTGTATTGACCGTTGCTTGTGGTGCCAGCACCATAGAGATGTCGCAGCTTGGTGAACTGACGAAAGACAGTGCCAGAGTTTCAATAACTACTGCGAGGGAAGTCGTATTATCATTGAATGGTGACACTCTGTTTGTTATCACAACAACAGATCGCAGTCCAGCAACACTTACGGCTTGGGACATTTCAAGTGGTTTGGTCAAACATGCAATAAAAATTTTTCCTCACCCTAGTTGGTTCCGTCAATATAATCTTGTCGCTGTAAGGGAAGGTGTTCTGTTGCAAACCAGTCGCCACGTCCTTGAGCTGTGGAATTTTGAGTTGTCTGAGTGCATCCGAAGTTGGACTGACTTAGGAGACATCACTGGAGTAATCCCCATATCAGAAGAACAAGTGGCCTTTGAAGTAAACAGCGCCTGTACAGAAGAGAGCAAAGTCATCATTGTGGATACAACTAGGGAAGGCATTGTATCAACAATTACTATTCACGGGAAGTTCGTTGGATGTAACAGTAAATGTCACGTGATATCCGCTGCTCATGGAAAGTTGCAGATGCAATGTGGAGACAAAGTACTCTGGAAGATATCCCAGCTTTTCACATACTTTCACTTTTCTCGATACAAGACATTTTCTCCTACTGAACATTATTACGTATTTGCTGCACAAAAGAGCTTTCCCGACACGGCCTTATACGTCCTCGATGTAGTTTCAGGAAAAACACTCTGCACACTACAACCACGTACTGATCACCCCCCGATTTTTGGCAGCCTTGATTGCAAGTTTGTTGGTGAGGAGGAGTGCATTACTTGCTTCACTGTTTTATTTGGCGGTCATTTTCTTCAGCTGTTTAATGTCAAGTCAGGTGACCTGCTGAGTGAAATTGCTAGGGAAAGCCCTGTGTACAGTTTAGCAGCTTGTCCTCGTGAGCGTCTTATCGCCGTTGGCTTTGAGGATTCCAATGTGAATTTCAGAGTTCTTCGGGTGAAGTTGCCAGGAGATAAACACAACAGAAAGAACAAAAGGTCAGGTTTTATTAATAAGGAACAAAGTTACGATACAATGACTTCAACCGAATCACCTGAGAGATTTTTACCAATTACAGCACGATTTTCCAACAACAAAATCTAAGTTGACCTCACCATTCAAGTTTGAGTAGCGCAGTTCTTAACCCTTGGAACGGACGACTTTGATTGGTTGGTAACTGGGTTCAAATTTCGTTGACTCCGCGAACAGCATCAGAAGCGAGCGATACAAA